AAAAAACAATCTAATTTAAAACACAGAGAGACAGACAGACAGACAGAGATAGAGAGAGAATAAGTTACACTGAGTTATTTCAAATATAGAGTTGCTTTAGTTCAACCTATTAACTACATGCAACCTTTTTAGTGCTATAAAAACTTCCTCACTGCAATACCTTTTCGGTTTTATGTTATGACACCTCCTTGCTGCTATAGTTCAACATATGTAACAAGACCCTACCTGGGAAACACAATGCCCACAAGGGTATCTTTTTTCTCAACCATGGCACAGTTTAAGACAGAGGCTGCAATTTTGAAAGATTGCTATAGAAAGCTTTCAATTAAAAGAGGGGTTGAAATCTCTCTGACAATAGATCTTCTAATTTTCACTGTCAATAGAAATCTGTATGCTCCAAAACAGGTGCTGGGCTTGACTATATAATATAGCCTTAGTGAGCAATGAGTCTAATTCATTAAAAAGTCTATAAACAAAATGGCCTTTGTCCTACAGAGATGAAAGACCTGAAGCTATAATGGGATGAAAGTGTACACAAGGATGAAGAAAGCTATTAGAGATCTATGTCCTTTCTTAAACTTGTCCTGGCATGCATTCTTCACAGGGGAACAAACCCATGCAGAAAAAACTCACTTCTTTCCACCTGCCTATGTGAAAACTACTGAATCTTTCCTATCAGCTTACTAATGAAAAGCCACACCAACAGAGAAAATACCACTATGATAGAATCATTATTTCCAGAATAGCATATTTCCTGCTACAGTGCAGCCCAATCCATATTAGTGGCATAACCAAATGTTTTCCATGCATTGAGAAGGGGAAGTTTAGATGATTCCCCAGAAATGCAAGTGCTTCTCAAGCTTGGCAGAACTGGCTGGGGAATTCTGGGAATTGAAGTCCACAGTAGAAGTTTGACGGTTCCAACTCTTTGCGACGTTCGTTATAGAAAGTAGAGTGCGTGATGAAGAAGATCTCGACCCAAGTGTGGTATGTAAATTAAGTCAATTTACGGGTCCTGGATATAATTGTATTGTGATATTTGAACTTATTAAAATCCAAAATGAATTTTCTACACACACACATACACACACACACACACACATCACCTGCTGTGTGAAGCTCATGTTTTTTGGTTCAGTGGAGTGTGTGATACTAAAAATGCATTAACTAAGTACTAGATTAATTCACACAATTAATTCACACCAAGAGACTGAGGTACAAGGATTTTTTCCCCCATCCAAATTCACATAGGCTAAACTAGACAAGGAAAAGTTCAGACAACAAAAAAAAATTACCAGTTGATTGCAATGCTTCTTAACCTTGTCAGCTTGAAGATATATGGAATTCAACTCCCATGCTGGTTGGAAAATTCTGACAGCTGAAGTCCACACATTTAAAGGTTATCAAGGTTGAGAAATATTGGTTGATTGTATATATATATATGTGTCATGTAAGAACAGGACTCCAACTTGTAGAAATATATCCTGCACAGAGATGCAGTATAATGTACTATGAACTATGCATTGATTTATACAGTATCAAAGAAACTTCAGTACATACAATGTGCTAAATAAGGATAATTACAATCTCTCTATTCAGTATTTCAATGGAAAAGTTTCCAAAGTTTTTCTTTTTTTGGGGGGGGGGGAATACAACTTTGGGAAAATTGCTTAAACTTTCAGGCAGGCTAAGTTCATACACCATGTAAAATCATAATGTGCTTGGTTTGGCTTTATTGCTCAAACTTTCCCTGGCCCACTATTGATCAGATATGTTGGCCTTCACCTTCTAGAATTTCCATCCAGGTTGATTTAAAAGGCTTTAAGCCCCTTCCCCTGTAGCTAGGATTCATTGATTGTCCATGAAACATTTTCCAAAACTATCATGTGTTAGTCACTTTTCTTAGCTGGGTGGACATTTGGAGAATCAGAAACCAAGCCCTAGGCCACTGCACCTCATGTCCCAATAAGAAAGAAGAATCTGGCTATCATTTGTGCCATTTCATATGCAAAGGAAGGGTGTGTCCCCCTTTATGACTTTCTTTTTGTTTAGGCCAAGCTGGGTGGTTGGGGAAGGGGGAATGGTTTAAAGTTCTCTCTGTTCTGAACTTTTATAAAGATTTGGTGTGGATTCAGAGACATCCAATCTGTAACATGCGGTGGTTTCACAGACAACACATGATCTAGGCTAAAAACAGATACACAGAAACTCGTACCTATAATTATACATTTTAAATAGAACTTTGCCCTAGAGAGTATTCTACTCAAATCCAGCTGGTTTATTCAACCCCATTAACAAGAAAAGAAAAACCCCCATGAATAATAATTCTCCATTTTAAAAAAAACAGCCTAGCCAAACTGAAAAACGACCAATGTCATTTAATTTGTTTAAAGCCATTGCCATATGCTCAGGCTTTGCTCATTACAAAGCCATAGCAAGCAAGGAATTATCAGGAAATCTTTCTTCATCATTAAGCTCCCAATCCACAACCTGCTTTGCTTTTTTTTCCCCACCAAAGCAAACCTTTTCCTCATCTGAATAGATGTCTCATACATAATGAGTTTGTGGACTACAAACCAGATTGAAAAGAATTTCATTGAATAAAGCTAAGCAAGCTAGCTATTTAAAACAGCTCTGAGCTTCCTTCCTTCCACTGAGACCTTTTCATTTGTAGATGCTTCTGCAGCAATTCCAATGCTCTTCAAAGTGGTCCAAAATCTTTAATGTGAACTACAAGCTATGACCAAATCCTTGAGGTCTCAGACCCAAGATTGAACTCAACATCATTGCAAATGCCACAAAGAGGAGGGGGTCAACTTATTTTCCAAAGCACCAGAGGACAAGACAAGAAACAATGGATGGAAGCTAATCAAGGAGAGAAGCAACCTAGAACTAAGGAGAAACTTCCTACTAGTGAGAACAATTAAACAGTGGAACAGCTTGCCATCAGAAGTTGTGGGTGCTTCATCACTGGAGGTTTTTAAGAAAAGACTAGACAACCACCAGTCTGAAATGGTATAGGGTCTTCTGCTTGAGCAGGGGGCTGGGCTAGAAAAGCTCCAAGATCCCTTCCAGCTCTATTCTGATTGATTGAGAGAACTAAAAGTGCATATGTGATCAGATTTAAGATAACAATAATCAACTGTTATCTTATGCAAATTATCTCTGAGCCATTTCCAGAGTGTATTCATAAAACTATAATTAATTCATTTATGATGCACAACAGTTCATGATTGCAAATAAAACTGAGAACTCTTTAGATTAACTCTCCAAACATCTTGATAAGCAGTTGGTATCTTTTAGCAAACTTTTGTTCACACTTAACCAATGTGAGGCTATTTTCACAACCCTGCACTGGACATTTAATCAGTGGATTCGATGAGGCTATGGTATCATCAAATTACTCCACAACAAAGATTGCATGATATGTTCACATATATTTTTAAGTAGAAGAAAACTAAAAAAAAATGTTGTTTCTAGTTTGTATTGAGGAATTAATCTAGTGTTTGGGGGGGCATATTCAAGATTACATTATCTAACCGAACCATATGCATAAGGAGATTAAAATGTAGAAAATTTCACCTGTCCACTGGATGACACAAGGATCAAACAAAGTGTTTGTCCGACTATGTTATTGCAAGTGTAGAACATAATGGGTTCGGTTACTACAGATTAATTAATCTCACTACTTAAAGTTTGCAATTTGTCGTCAGTCCCAGTCCTCTGTTTTCATACACTAAAGGCAGTGCCACTCATTCCCAAATTAATGTGTGCGGTGTTGCAACTTTAGATTCATGCAGGTGCACTTTACAAGGTCTTTTAAGGCCAACTAATTGCAAGATTTCAAGGGGTAGCTTGAAAAGAAAATATGTAATAGGCTTGAAGAACACTTAAAAGTTGGTTACCCATTAATGCAATGGGTCTCATATCTAGAGGGGAAAGTTGCTGAAATCCAACAAATCCAACAAGTCAACCCTTTTTTTCACTGTTCAAGGTATATGGCTGGAATAAATACAACTTCGTAAGAATCCACATTGATCTACAAAGGATTTTGGAGATGATAGCTCCCGTTTGAGAATATTCAGCCTTTTGTTCTTATGGTGTCTCTCCACATGTGGTTTTAAGAAAGATGAATGCTAGCTCTACCTTCCTTTCTAAATGCCAAGTTGGACAAGGGTCCCAATCCACAGATTTGGCCTTCGCAACATCAGGAAGCATACACTGAAGACACCATGCCAAGTATCTAGAGACACACTATGGTCCAGAGGTGGTTGATGTGGGGATCAGAAACATCCCGGAGACAAAACTACTTTATAATGGTGAGAAAATCCAAGCATTTAAAAAAAAATACCAAACAAAATTCTGTTTACTTAACAAAGGATCCAAAGAAGCTGTAAGAAAGGATGGGGTTTTTTTAGGTTGTTTTTTTTTAAAAAAAAAAAAAACACTTGTGAATAATCAAGTAAAAGTCTGGAAGGAAGACAAACAAGAATACCTGACTGATTCATGCCAACCATAAAGAAAAAGAAAGTTGCTGGAAGGCTAGGTTCAGGTTTAAGCAGGCCCTTAATGGCCCAATTACTGTGGGTCATTTTTGTTTCCCACAATACCTCAGATCAGCACGGGGCACGGGAAGAAGATGGCTGCCTCTGCCAGATAGTCAGGGACCTGCACAATCTAGGACAGTGTTTCTCAACCTTGGCCGCTTGAAGACGTCTGGACTTCAACTCCCAGAATTCCCCAGCCAGCCCTGCTGGCTGGGGAATTTTGGGAGTTGAAGTCCTGACGTCTTCAAGCGGCCAAGGTTGAGAAACACTGAACTAGGACAAGCATCCTCAGTGCCCAAAGATCTCTAGCAGGTCATCAGCCTTGGGGCTCCTAGGACCAGATGCTGGTCCCACCTTAGGTCCTTACTGGCTTCCCAAGAGCCACCTTCTACCTCAACCACCTTCTACCAAGCGCTACCACCAACCCCTTCCCACCCTCAGCCAGAGACTCACCCATGTTCACGAAGCTCATGACCATGTCTGCCTCGGTCAGGAAACTGCTGTCCTGCAGACTGGCCAGGGGTGGCCCCTGAGTGCTGAAGATGGGCTTGTAAGGGTAGGAGAAACCTTCGGCGCCACCTTCACTGGGGCCCTCTTCCTCCACCGACATCGCATTGTAGAGGTCCAGCANCATCTTCAAACTGCCAAGGTTGAGAAACGCTGCAAGCAATATCTTTCATCTCACGCACTACTTCTTCTAGAGCTGGGTTCACACCATACATTTAATTCAGTTAAATGCCCAGGACCTATATTAACATAACACTATAAACTTGAATAATTTTAGGTTTTACTTAAAAGATGTGTGTGTGTATGTGTGTGTGTGTGTGTGTATGTGTGTTCACCTGCTGTGTGAAGCTCATGTTTTTTGGTTCAGTGGAGTGTGTGATACTAAAAATACATTAACTAAGCACTAGATTAATTCACACAATTAATTCACACCAAGAGACTGAGGTACAAGGATTTTTTCCCCCATCCAAATTCACATAGGCTAAACTAGACAACAAAAAGTTCAGACAACAAAAAAAAAAATTACCAGTTGATTGCAATGTTTCTTAACCTTGTCAGCTTGAAGATATATGGAATTCAACTCCCATGCTGGTTGGAAAATTCTGACAGCTGAAGTCCACACATCTAAAGGTTATCAAGGTTGAGAAATATTGGTTGATTGTATATATGTGTCATGTAAGAACAGGACTCCAACTTGTAGAAATATATCCTGCACAGAGATGCAATATAATGTACTATGAACTATGCATTGATTTATACAGTATCAAAGAAACTTCAGTACATACAATGTGCTAAATAAGGATAATTACAATCTCTCTATTCAGTGTTTCAATGGAAAAGTTTCCAAAGTTTTTCTTTTTTTTGGGGGGGGGGGAATACAACTTTGGGAAAATTGCTTAAACTTTCAGGCAGGCTAAGTTCATACACCATGTAAAATCATAATGTGCTTGGTTTGGCTTTATTGCTCAAATATACATTCTTAAAGCAACTTTCCCTGGCCCACTATTGATCAAATATGTTGGCCTTCGCCTTCTAGAATTTCCATCCAGGTTGATTTAAAAGGCTTTAAGCCCCTTCCCCTGTAGCTAGGATTCATTGATTGTCCATGAAACATTTTCCAAAACTATCATGTGTTAGTCACTTTTCTTAGCTGGGTGGACATTTGGAGAATCAGAAACCAAGCCCTAGGCCACTGCACCTCATGTTGCAATAAGAAAGAAGAATCTGGCTATCATTTGTGCCATTTCATATGCAAAGGAAGGGCGTGTCCCTCTTTATGACTTTCTTTTTGTTTGGGCCAAGCTGGGTGCTTGGGGAAGGGGGAATGGTTTAAAGTTCTCTCTGTTCTGAACTTTTATAAAGATTTGGTGTGGATTCAGAGACATCCAATCTGTAACATGCGGTGGTTTCACAGACAACACATGATCTAGGCTAAAAACAGATACACAGAAACTCGTACCTATAATTATATATTTTAAATAGAACTTTGCCCTAGAGAGTATTCTGCTCAAATCCAGCTGGTTTATTCAACCCCATTAACAAGAAAAGAGAAACCCCCATGAATAATAATTCTCCATTTAAAAAAAAACAGCCTAGCCAAACTGAAAAACGACCAATGTCATTTAATTTGTTTAAAGCCATTGCCATATGCTCAGGCTTTGCTCATTACAAAGCCATAGCAAGCAAGGAATTATCAGGAAATCTTTCTTCATCATTAAGCTCCCAATCCACAACCTGCTTTGCTTTTTTTTCCCCACCAAAGCAAACCTTTTCCTCATCTGAATAGATGTCTCATACATAATGAGTTTGTGGACTACAAACCAGATTGAAAAGAATTTCATTGAATAAAGCTAAGCAAGCTAGCTCTTTAAAACAGCTCTGAGCTTCCTTCCTTCCACTGAGACCTTTTCATTTGTAGATGCTTGTGCAGCAATTCCAATGCTCTTCAAAGTGGTCCAAAATCTTTAATGTGAACTACAAGCTATGACCAAATCTTTGAGGTCTCAGACCCAAGATTGAACTCAACATCATTGCAAATGCCACAAAGAGGAGGGGGTCAACTTATTTTCCAAAGCACCAGAGGACAAGACAAGAAACAATGGATGGAAGCTAATCAAGGAGAGAAGCAACCTGGAATTAAGGAGAAACTTCCTACTAGTGAGAACAATTAAACAGTGGAACAGCTTGCCATCAGAAGTTGTGGGTGCTTCATCACTGGAGGTTTTTAAGAAAAGACTAGACAACCACCAGTCTGAAATGGTATAGGGTCTTCTGCTTGAGCAGGGGGCTGGGCTAGAAAAGCTCCAAGATCCCTTCCAGCTCTATTCTGATTGATTGAGAGAACTAAAAGTGCATATGTGATCAGATTTAAGATAACAATAATCAACTGTTATCTTATGCAAATTATCTCTGAGACATTTCCAGAGTGTATTCATAAAACTATAATTAATTTATTTGTGATGCACAACAGTTCATGATTGCAAATAAAACTGAGAACTCTTTAGATTAATTCTCCAAACATCTTGATAAGCAGTTGGTATCTTTTAGCAAACTTTTGTTCACACTTAACCAAATTGAGGCTATTTTCACAACCCTGCACTGGACATTTAATCAGTGGATTCGATGAGGCTATGGTATCATCAAATTACTCCACAACAAAGATTGCATGATATGTTCACATATATTTTTAAGTAGAAGAAAACTAAAAAAAAATGTTGTTTCTAGTTTGTATTGAGGAATTAATCTAGTGTTTGGGGGGGCATATTCAAGATTACATTATCTAACCGAACCATATGCATAAGGAGATTAAAATGTAGAAAATTTCACCTGTCCACTGGATGACACAAGGATCAAACAAAGTGTTTGTCCGACTATGTTATTGCAAGTGTAGAACATAATGGGTTCAGTTACTACAGATTAATTAATCTCAGTAGTTAAAGTTTGCAATTTGTCATCAGTCCCAGTCCTCTGTTTTCTTTTTTTTTCCAAGTATAAATTTTTATTATTTTCATCATAAAAAAGAACACATCACAAGTACATCACAATGCTATAATAAAAGCCCCACCCCCCACCCCCCACCCCCCGGACTTCCCAAACCTAATCCCAGGATACTATTCAACTAAAAGTAAACTACTATTAATATCCCTAACTCCACAAAATATTATTCTACATAAG